TCCTCGCTCGTGCGAGACGTAAAAATTCGGCACTGAAAGAGGGTTATTAAATATCCGCCGTACCGAAAGAACCCGTGGTTAAGACGCATTACGATGTTATCCTGAATCCATGAGTCGTCCACGGTTCATCGACCAAGCATGACGGGCGGCCGCGCGCAAAAAGGAAATATCATCGAAGACCATGGGCGATGCAGATGAAGGATTAATTGGTTACAGTTCGCGTTGTATGTACATTCCGGCTGTCTGACGCAACACGCGCGTCTCTCAGATAATGCTATTATCACCGTACGTAGTGATTAGGCTGCAGGCCAATCCGCGCGCGCCGCTTTTTATTCGCTCCGCAAATCGTCCGTAAATCATTCTTTTTTCTCCCCCCCTACTCTTCCCTCCCATTTCTCTCTCTTTCTCTCTCCGTACGTAGAACGACGGAAGAAGAAGGGCGGCGAAATATCGTTTTAATCGACGTGACCAACGGGGGCTATACAGCTTCTTCGCGATGCAGCAGCACGCGACGAACGCCGAGCGAAATGCGAATTTGATTGTTCGGCCGACGGGCAAAAAATGGGCGCAAAAACTCGTCCCGCGTAAAGCGTAGCTGTGTGTGTTTGCGGAACACGCGATGCGCGGCCGCGTGTACTTGTTCGGCGTATACAAAAGACAGCGTAGTCGGCGAGCGAAAAATGCGCGATCCAATTGCAACGCGTTCGTGAAGAACCCCGACAAAATTCGGCGTTTCACGCGGACAGCTGGCGCGCGCGTGTTGCGAAATCAGTGCGACGGACAAAGCTGCGCAATAATTGGTTGCTTGATTAATTAAATAATTTAATCAGTTTAATTAAATTGTATAAATTAATTTAATTTAACTAATTTAACTGATTTCCTAAGTTAAATTAATGAAATCATTAATTATGTCCGTAACAGCGGTAAAAATAGCAGTCCACGCTGTGCAAACAGCGGTTTGCGCGGCTCGCTCCGCCGAATTAATGGAGGTGCAAAACGGTATCTACCTGTCGGCCTGGAAATACCAGATCGCGAAATACGGTTAAAATGCCAGAATGATCATCGTCGCTTTTAGGCGACGGCGGAATCCGGTTTGGGCTTTGCGGTCTAACCGGCTCGCGCGATATCCGCCGGTGACACGTGCGGAAATTTCGCCGGCCAATTAAGCGTTTGCTCTTTCGCTCGGGGGCCAATTTGCGCTAAGGCAATTTAAAGCTTGCGGGATGCCGAAGCGTAATTCACTCGTCGTCGAGTGGCATAATTCAGGTTCACCGTTGTCCGCGGAAAAACTGGTTCCGAGGTGTTACGCGTGCGGCGGGATTGTTCTACATTCCGCGGCGCGGGTTCATTCAAGCGTTAAAATAGGCTTACGCGCGCGCGAGTTTCCGACGCAGCGCGCAGGAGAGCCGCGCGTTATCCCGACGATGAGAGCGTCGCGTGACGAAAACGGTGGGGCCGAATGCTCGAACTTTTGCAGGAGGAAAAAAAAAGAAAACTCCTCGCTCTCTCGTGAAAACGCGCGCGACAATCGTGGAACGCGACGTTTGACGTAGGAACGAGGGAACCCTGATCGACCGCTCGATTGGTGCCAAAGGAGAAAACTCAGCCGAGTCGCGCGAAACGACGTGAAAAACGGCGCGAGGAGTTTAACGTTCGGCCCGTTATCGCGCTTCCTCGGTCGGAATTGCCGAGGAAGAAAAGTCGAATGCGAACGCAGGTCCGAGCAAAAAAGAGCGGAACGTCCGCCGCGCGGAAGAAGCACGGCCGGCGATAAAACTGCATCGGGGCTGTCGAACAAACTACCGACGCCACGATATCGCGGCTATTTATTTCGCGACGGGGTCATGCCGGACTCCCGCCGAACTTTATCCTCGAAACAATTCTACACGGCGTAGGAGGAGGAGGAAGGGAGCGGGGCGGCAGGGGGGATCTCTCTCCGCCGGGCGCGTTTCGCCTCCAGTTTCGTTTCCTGATAAAAGCGCGCCGCTCGAAAAATTCAAGAGATACGGGAGAAATTTATACCGCCTTCTCTCGGATGCCGTGGGAAAGCCCGATAAAACCCGCGGCAAGACGGGGCGAATTTCGCGGGCGGATCGCTCGCGTGAATTTTCCCGACGTCGCAGGCGTACCGCGGCCTGAGCAAACTGAGGCGAAGAGAGACGCTCCGGGGTCTTGAATTTGATAGGTTCCATGGGGAACGACGTGAGAAGATATACCGCATCCTCCCTCGCCCTTCCCCCCCACCCCTTTCTCTTTTTCTTCGCACGACCTGTTAATATATTCAAAACCGCTGCCAACCGCATTTTTTCCCTTATTATACCACGTTTCTCGTTGCATTCGCTCGGAACACGCGTACATCTGTATTCGCACGCTTACCGTTCGGATGCGAAGCTTATATGCGGGCTGAAAAAATCGAGCTGAAAAACAGGACAATCCCGCGTGTACAGGATCTTCGTATAGGCCGGCCTGCTCCGTTCTCCCCTCACCCCTACCCCTCCGTCTTCTTTCTTTTTCTTCCAGAAGAAAGATATCGCTTCGCGAGGGCCGAGAACGATAGGGGGAGAGAGAGAGAGAGAGAGTGCACGGCCGACCACATAGTATGCACAAAATCCGGCCCCAAGCTGAGGTAGGATAATAAATATGCAAAAAGGAGGAGTTTCGATGCCGTAAATAAAAACGGCGGGCTTGCGTGCTGCGAGAGTCTGCGGCGAGAGAGAATCGCGATTCGAAATAAAAGGACGGCAAAGGCGAAGGGTGGTGTGATAGGGGGTGGAGGAATGCGAAAAGAAAGAGAAGCGGTGGGAGGGCGGAGGGAAGGGGGTGGCAGGGCTCCTCTGCTTCTTTCGTGGCAGGCAACGCGTTGTAATCTCTTGATTTAGTTCGACTTAGCCCCGACGAATGTGTTTCTCGCAAGATATTCCCGTCACTTCTCTCTCTCTCTCTCTCTTCCCCTCTCGAGGCAGGAAGACAAGCCGAAGGAGAAGAAAAGCGCGAGAAACACGAGTACGGAGCGATGGTCGGATTGGTATTGCGGTTAGACACGACCGTTCGACGGCGAAATCTACGTTGGCGTCTTCATCAAGGCGTAGAAGTCGCGCGCGAAGCGAGCTAAATTTGAAAGCGGCGAAATTCCTCGTCGATTCCCTCGGCGCGCCTCGCTCGATCGCAGAGGTTGCAGGTGCGATCGAACCGGTGTTGTGTTGAAAATCGATTTCGACGCGCTGCGTCGCGATCACGGTGAATCCGGGAGTTCGAAATCACGCTTTATCGCCGTGGCGCGATAACGATCGCCGGCGGTTGACGCGATCGGGACTCTAATCCGGCATTTTCACGTAACAACGTAATAAGTAGCGGCTCATCGACGCTGTTTATCGCGTCGACGGATCGATCGATCATTCCCGCTTATATGCGCGAACAAGATCGCCGTAGGGTGTTTCGAGGGACTCACCTGCACCCGTTGTCGATGCCGATCTTGTTTCCGCTGCCGCCTCTCCAATTCTTCCTTCCTCTCGATCAGCGACCTTATCTCGACCGCCGCCACGGGAGCCGTCGTATCGTCGGGCACGCTGCACGAGGGTAATCTCCTCAGCTTGGAAATCGATTCCTCCTCCCCCTCGCTGTAACTCTCCACTAGGAGCTCCGAGTCGCTCTGGGGGTAAATTAATTCCGTCGTAGAAATTTGTTCCTGGAATAACGAGCCGTGGCGGCGACCGGATTTTACCAAAAGTCCCAAAGCGGAAGAAATCCGATCTCGTTAACCTCAACGTTCCTCTGACGCACTCGTAATTAATATTTATATCGCTTTCGGGACGGGAGTTGAATGTGCATCGCGATAATCCGAGTCATATATATTGCTGAAGGCTCGATTCCGGGGGATTAAAAAGAATTCTCGCTGTCAGGGTTGAGCGCCGTGAATCGTGATGTATCTTTATTACCAGAAATTTCTCGCGTTCGTCTCACTTCACCGTTACTTTCTACAATATCGGGATAAATTAAGGACAGCCTCGAGATAGATGGACCGCGATCGTCTCGCTCAAGCGCTCTCGGTCTCGCCGGATGCTTTCGGGAGGAGATCGGATCCGGAATCCGCGGTGCTCAGCGTGGAGCTCCGCTCCTCTACGCGCGTTTTCTCGTGGGACACGAGATTTACGACAGTTACGTACCTGTTCCGGCGGCGAACTCGGCAAACTCGTGCTCGAGGCCTCGACCACGGAGACGTATTCGCTGACGCCGGTCTCGCTCTTTTGCAGTTTCAGCACCGGTGTCTCCAAGCCGCACAAGAACACTTGACCGAAAAAGAGGATCTTGCTTATCCTCAGGCACACCTGAGCCACTTCCTGAAACGTGAAAATGTATCCGATCCATTGACATTGTGCGACATACAACGCAGATGAATGATATCCGGGCAGCGTCGATGTAGACAAATACGCGAGACCTCTGGAGATTTTCGGCCGAGACGCGAGTACGGGATTTCCTTCAGCGAGAGAAACAATAATACACGGGAAAAGTGTTGTGGAATCAATAAAATTCCCAACAGTGATTCGAGTAAATTTCTGCTCGATTCACTGGCAAATATCGTTAAAACTACTACGTTATGTATTGTTTCAGTAATTAAAGTTATCAATGACATCGTTGTTGAATCAAGCAAATTTACTCCAATAGCGTGCCGTTGGAAATTCTATTGACTTAACAACACAATTAATAGCAAAATTCTCTCCGTTTTTAATTTCAACCTTTATCAATAGTTATCGATCAAGTATTTGAATATTTCCAATAACTATCAACAAAACGTAAATCTTAACGATAGCAACTTGGAAGCTGTGCGCTCACCATGTCCACCAAAGTCTTTTCCACGTAGGAAGGATCCTGGGGATTCAGCATGAGGGGAGTGAATCCCGCCAACGTGATGTCTTCCGGCAGTTTCACGAGTTCCAATTCTGAAACAAATAGCAAGCGATATACGTCCGCTGCTATATGCCACGATGCCGATGCTCCTCGTATCAAGTTTCCCGCGCCAAATCTGCTCCCCTTCGACCGGCGTGTCGCCCTAGCCGCAGTGACCCTGAATTTACGCGAACGACACGCGGTAAGGCACATATCACGTATCGCGAAAGGAGCTCAGATGTTTATGCCGCGCGTTTAGAATCGGTAAAATGCGATCGCATTCTGACCACCCGTCGTCGCCATCCGTGCCCGGCATTAGAGTTCGATAATACGCGGCAGGTCATGTTCGCGTAGAGCCAATCCCCAAAATTCACGGCAATTTTCCGTGCACACGCCTCTCTATAGCCCAGATACGACTCGGGGGCGATCGCAAATCGTGAAAAAAATACCGTAAGTTTATGTTACAGTGACTAATAACGTGTCTCCCATCGCGCACGGCTGATTTCGGTCGGCTACGGTCGGCCGCAGTTCTGACGAGCTTGTTAATTCTAGTCAGCCGTGATCAGCGATCGCGGTTCTGCCTCGGCGATACGTGCGCGCAGCGATATTCACTATGAGTGACGCGCTTGTCGTCCAGCGCACATACTCGGTTTAGAGGTAAGTGTACCGCGAGCAAGGACGCGCCGCGAAACTGGAACGCTCGTTTCCACGCGACCGGACCCGTTGGAAGACCCAGTTCGAGACCGAACTCGCGATCGCGTCTCTGGCGCGATTTGACGAAAATAAAAAAGGACCCCTCGCGACCCCTCCGCTCGCTAGATACACGCGTGCGGCTACGTTCGCGGTCGGTCGCTTTCGTATCGGCCCGTCGCTACGGTGATAACCACCGCGTGAAATCGCGATTTCATGTTCGTTTGTTCGCATCGTGGAATCGAGAGAGACTAAAACGCGACATCACGACGTAACTGGGGGGCCGAAACAATCAGAATCCGAGGTAAAATGGACTGGCCAATAAGAACCTATTCGTGACTGTTGTAGCAATATATATCTTATCCAATCTATCTTGGCCAATCTATCTTCAGTCAATAACCGTAGGTACATAGAAAAAAGTATTAGATTTAAATAAATAATTACTCCAATACTCCTCAGCAAATTTTTACTTGGAACAAAATCAACTTGGAACAAGTAAGATGTTTCCCAAGCAAAATATTACTTGATCCGGGTAGAAATTTCGTAAAGAGTATCGGAGTAATTATTTCAATCTACCTTTCTTCACTATATAGTAACCTTGTTTAGCAATTTTTGTTAATAACCGACAGAGCCTATTTAAATTTGGTTGATATTTTTACATATCTCTTTCTCGTCTCTTTCTTTCATTTATTGTAAATCAAAGGATATTTTTCATTTAAATAAATGAATATATATATATATAAATAAGAATTGGCCCCTTCTGCGCGATATTTGCACGTGTCCCTTTGAGTTGCCGGTGATAAGAAGCGTCTTCGAACGCCTCTCTCCCGTACTTTCTCGCGTTACGCATGGTGTTATTCTTAGCGTCTCATTGTTATATTTCATTATGTGCCGATCCAAAGTCTCTCGCGCGCCGCTAATGAACGATCGACACACGCTGCGGCAAGTAGTATCTCGCACCACCATGACGCGAGGAATATAACGTAAATGATAAAATATCGCCGCGCACGAGCGTAATGGATTATCATCGAACAAGCGAATTCATTACTAGCGCGATATTAATCGCCGATGTATCGGTCATAATTATCCTCCGGACGGATATTAATTGTGATGGGTGGCTCCGCGCGAGACGGACTCGCACGGCGCGTCTTCGCGCGCGACTCCACCTTTCTTACTCGCGGTATCTATTATTATTCGGTCGGATGTATCGGCAACGAGCGCGCTACACGAGAACGCGTTCGCGAAACATGCTCGTCGAAAAATTAATAGAGAGAGAGAGAGAGAGAGAGATTTATTAGCCTTGGGTTATCTTACTTGACACAGAGAGCGAAATTAATATAATATAATATTGTATCGAACAGAAAAATAATGATACATATAAAGAGCGTTACGAAAAAGTATAAAAGGAAAATTTATGCATTAAAATTATTATATAATATATTATAATTATATATACAGAATAGGGCAATAACTTTGTCCATCTGGAATATTTTTAGAGATATGAAAATATTTTAATTACGAAAATTGTGTGGTATCAAGAGAGCGACAATATGCTAATAATAATTGTTCTTGCATGGGAACGCTTCAGAAATTCAAAGATCACTTCCATCATTTTATCAAATGGCGTGATAGACTTTTTCATCCTTAATGCAATAGCGGATGTTCAGACGATTTCAACGACTTATAGTACAAGATCATTCGGTATTAAATAATGGAGTTGTAAAACAGCGATGATGAAGAAGTGTTCGAAATGATGTCCGTTCACATCAATGCAACATCGCAATCGTCCATTTCCTGAAGCACGTACATTTCTTATCACTTCCGGATCGATTGCAGCACATGCTGCAGTAATTCACTGCGATTATAGTACAACGACACTCATTCGCTGCTTCATATTTTCTGGTGTGGTTGACTTTTCTTGGTATGCTGTGTCGTTGTACTGTAATCGCAGTGAATTACTGCAGCATGTGCTACAATCAATCCGGAAATGATAAGAAATACTTCAGGAATTCGATGATTGCAATGTTGCGTTGATGTAAACGGATATCTCTCCGAACACACTTCTTGTGACGCAAGAATCATTGTTTTGCGCTGTTATTTAATGCCGAATCATCTTGTATTATAAGTCGTTGAAATCATCTAAACATCCGCTATTGCATTAAGGATAAAAAAGTATAAAGCATGCCAATTTAAAACACGGAAGTGAAATCTCCTTGAAATCTCCAAAGGTCCTCCATCCACAAAAAAATTATTGCTAGCTATATTATGATCTTCTTCATATCGTACAACTTTCGTAATTAAAATATTTTCATATCTCTCAAAATAGCGGATATATTCCAGGTGGACAAAATTATTGGTCCTATATATAGAGAGAGAAAGAGAGAGAGAGAGAGAGAAAGAGATATTTTCATCGTCGACTCGTCGTCGTCTTCGTTGTCGAGTTGTCTTCGCGAGGGCCGCACGTGAATGAGCTTCGGGGCAATGCAATTTGTGTATTCATAACATGCGCGCGACGAGAATACAGTGGAAGACGCGCGATGTGGCTCGCGCGCACGTTGAAAGACCATTGGCCACTCGCTAGTAAACGGCCGCAGAGAATGGCACTGCAGTGGTCATGTCGAACGTATTCACCGTTACGCAACCGTCGCGCCAGCTACCTACGGGTCAACAGACCGGGCACCGACTTCCCCGTCCGAGGAACGCGGCTTTTTCGATTAAGCCTGGTCCAGGTCCGTCCGTGAGATTCGCACGAGACGTGATCGAGAGAGACGTACGATTGCCACTTCTCTCCTCCGCGTTTTTTACACGCTCAACTCGAAAATCCATTGTGTTCTGCGAATTTTCGTCCGGTAGAGCCATTGTCGCCGATATCGCCGAATTCCGGGTCGCGGATTTACACAGAGAACGCAGATGCAAGGATCAAGCGGATCCAATTCGGAACGGACGCGAGAAAGATCGAATTTACGCCGGCGATTCGCGGCAACCCGGGGTCTCTCCCCGTTAATTCGCCGTTTTCGCGCGAACCTCGCAATTTTCGACTCGTCTTTCGCGCGTTCCGCTTTAGGTAAAATAATAATCGACGAACGACGGCGTCACGGAAGTCGTTCGTCGCGCACAAAAGACAGCGGGGACCATTAGCTGACATTTCCTTACCTTCTTCGCGACCCTCGGCTTCCTTGGCTTGAATCAAGGTTGTCCCGGTGTAATTTAATTTCTCAAGAAGGTTCACCATCGTTGCCAGTCTGCTCCACACGTCTCCGGGCGGTCTGTAACAAAGCGGGGGATCGAATGAAGCATATTCACGAAATATCCGTCGAGAATCCGGAAGAATCTCGCCCGCGACAAAAATCCCTCGTGATTCAACGAAACTCTTAAAAAGGAACGGATCATTCTTCTAATGCGCAGTTCGAAAGTAGCCGAAGAAGGGCCCCGGAGGTATCAAGGTCGGAAGACAGGTCCGTCCCGCGCGATCAGATCGGCCTCACCTCGAGGACTGACTCATCGAACGTGATTTGTGATTTCGCGACGCACCGATTCGATACTAGTCCTTAATTATGCCGAGTATGTTTTTTACTAGATCGTTTAACACACCGCGCATTATTTGAAGCCACGCCTCACGATCGACAGAGGCCTTCTTGCACCTCCGGCGAGGCCCGAAAGTAATTCCCAGCGTCGCGAAGATCCCTCATTGTCGATCGTAAAGACGACGGCGACGTGAATACTCGAAAAAGAGAAAAATATGTATACATAGATTGACGGCTGTGTGAGCACAGCAACTTGATCAAATATTTATTTATGAAAAAAGGAACGCGGCAGCGGGTAATTCGCCTCCCCGACTACTGGCTTCGCGAACGCCTGACATGAGGCAAGTGTTTTGAACTCCGCGGCGATCTCAGTCACGCGACGAATCTCTCGCCACAAGGTGCAATTAGCCCCGTTCTACCGAGGGGGGATCGAGATTTCCAACGAAATCCTGTTTACCGAAAATACTGTTTCGCCGCACGAAAGTGCGTTTACCGGTGGCTACGGTGGACTAACTCGCTCGCGGTTTCCGTGCCGAGCGGCGACGTGCGAAACGTGCCTCGCGCTCCGTCTTCGGATTTTCGCACGCCTTCTTCGCGTGCGGGAGCGCGCGCGAGATTTCGTATTTACGACGAGACGTATAAACGCGCGAGAGAGGTGCGAGAGAGTAGGTGCGATTGAAAAACGGACGGCTGATAAAATTTATATCCGACCATTTGTGGCGCGAAGACGAAGAGTGCGCGCGTCTCCCGCGCGCTCGAGCGCGAAAGAGGGAGAGGGGGAGGGGGACGAGCGCGCGGGCCCTCGCGCGAATATGATATATCCCCGTGCGACTATTTATTACCAATGTCGAGAATTACATATTGGAAATTATTGCGGCGAGCCCGCGTAATGCGCCGCGCCGGTGGATAATAATAATAGATCACGGATTTATACATTTAATGTACTTCGTATACGGCTCGTTCCGACGACGTTATTAATGATCTACCCGCGGCGGGGCATACGTTTCCATTCACCACTTCCGTATTACTGTAAAGCTAAAGTCGCCCGCTCAATTATTAATTCTTAACGCGACGAATGCCGCGTTCTAAAACCGTGCCTGGGAGCGAGGAACTGCGCCCTTTTGTTCCCAACGTTCCCGATCGCGGACGCTGCTTCTCCTCGTTGAAAATGTGCGCAAAATGATTTCGATGTATTATTACTACACGGATTTCGATACGAAGCGTTGTTAGGCGAGCTACGCAAACCCTCGCCATACGAAACTTTTCCTGATTTTTTTCGAAGGCGAACCACAACTGTGCGATTCTGTAAAACGTTTTCTAGCGCGGAGAGAAAAGGGTTACTTTGGGGCTAAGTAAACCTTCGGGTTTCGTAACACTGTCAATCATCGAGACAAAAAAAAGTAAGATGATTGCTTCTTGGCAGAAAAGGTGATCTCTCAGATATCAAAATAGTAACCAAAATTGACATTATTTGTTAAATTCTGAGACTAAGGCCATTTACGTAACACTTAATCTTATTTTGCCAGGATTATTTTTGGATAACTTAACATATAGCGAGTTCTTTTCATAATACGGTTTATAATCATAATATAATCGCGGTTTGAAAGTTCATGATAAAAAGAAAACCAATGATATGAATGATATAAGTACATTTTTAGAGCAATTTTATTAAGAGAGACGGCAAAAATATATATAGAACGATCATGTTTTATAAATTTAACGACAGCTTAATAGCTCAAGAAAAAGTGACTGGAAAATGTGATCCGCTTTGGACGATTGTGAATTTTTTAATGACTTGTCAAAAAAAGGTGACTGCGATGGCAGCGCTGGATTTAGTATACGTGATGGACTTGAATTTGTTTAATGTAAACGACATAATTTAATATCGAAATCATTTTATTCGAATGAAAATGCTGTTTCACTAAACATGTCGTTTGTTAGAAAAATAATATTATTTAAAGAAAATATTTAATTTTCATAAAAAAAAATTACTTCATTATATATTAAACATTGTTCCACTGAAACAAAAAAGTTCCCTTCTAATAGTTTACTAACATAGATTATTTCTTTCAATTAATTTATTGCTTGTGACAACCATTGCAATATTCGGATGAAAATACAAAAGAAATACGTTATTTAACGTAAAGATATTTATTGTCCGAGAAAAACCGAACAATCCTGCGTGTTGAATCAAACGTTCACTTGCTCCATTCCAAAAGTACAAAAATTTATTTCAATTAAAGAAACTTTATTAAATCCAAAGAAATCTTCTCAGTGTACCGAAAACATTCGTATAGTTTCCTCACAAAATCCAAGTTCCACGATCAATCTTCCGTGACGCGTTATGCAAAGATCCGAAAGCCTCTATTCGCTTCAGCGCGTGTCACATCGGGACTTTAACGATGGAGGATACGACCCCGATGACGATGCGCGAGAGAGGCTTGGCGTGAGGATCACGAAGGGACTTAACCGATCGCTTAATTTCGCTGCGAGGAAAAGTGCGCGCGCCACTCGCGGTTTCCGGCGCGATTAATCGACTGGCGTCGTTAAAGGTCATCGGTTAATCGCGCCTGCCACGAGACTCGCGTCGCGAAGTCCGCGTAGAATTGCGCGTTCGTGCCGTTCCAACGCGGCGATCAAGATCGAGGAGAGGATCGGCGGCGGCGGTCGTCCCGCGCTGCCGTGGCAAGCGTCCTTGCCAAGGAAACGCTTGACTCACGTAATTGTTAATCGCTAACGAGCAACAATAATTAACCTATCCAGCCGGATAGTGGCCGTTGGTTACGCAAAGAAGCACCGGAGAAACGACGTTGCGAGGAAGAGAGAAAGAGAGAGAGAGAGAGAGAGAGAGAAAAGGGTAGAGAAAAGGAGAAGCTAAGAAGGAGAGGGAGCCTTGAGGCTCGTTTAATGGACGGTAGATTGCATCAGTCGGACAAGCGTGACTCTCGCGCTCTTTTCTCTCGCTCTTATTCTTCTTTTATTTTATCTCATTAGCGAAACTCGCGCCGAAGCGGCGGCGGCGACGACGACGACGACGAAGCGCCGTCGATAAGATGAACGGCTCGAGCTCGCGCGTTTTCTCTCCTTCTCCGCCCTTCTCGTCCTCTCTACGAGCGCGCCTCGTATTCGCGCCGGCCCAAAAGTATTCGCTCACGCTCGCGGATGATCAATTCGAGACGCGCCGTGCGCGCGCGATCCTTTGTGAAACGCTGGCCCTCGGGCCCTCGAGCGCGCCACAGGGTGTCGGGGTTTCCCCGCTTCTCGTAGCGCGCTTTCGGGCCCCTTATTTAGCGGCGTGAGTCAGCGCGAGGCGCGCCGGAATTCGGCGACCGAACCGCTCGCGAAACGAACGAGGTGCTCGACTCGAAATCCATTATCTCGCGCGGGTTCGGCGAGTGGAAAATCATCGGGTCAAATTGAATCGATCTCTCGCGGCAAATCTCGCGTGCGTTCACGCCATCGACCTCTCTCTCTCTCTCTCTCTCTCTCTCGTCTCTTTTTCGAAAATTCGTCGGCCGAAATCGCGGCGGCGCGATCCTCCCCGCGAGTATTATCAACCGGAGACGACACGGAACGTTACAATCACGAACACGTGTCGCGCCACGGGAACGTCGTCGTCCGGCCGCCGCGGGTGTCGCGACGTCTTTACCTGCGAGTTTCTCACAGCGCGCGCGAGACGAAATTAATAGTCCGATACCAACAGCCATAATTCAAAACACCTCAAGTGTCAACCTGAATTAATAGTCGCTCCGCGCAGCTGCGACGGGGCCGAATGCGGCGCGAGTTGGCGAAAAGCCACCCTACAAATCTCCCTCCTCTCTCTTTCTCCGTCTATCTATCTATCTCTTCTTCGCCTTCTCTCTCTCTCTCTCTCTCTCTCTCTCTCTCTCTATCCCTTACTCTCTCTCCCTCTTTTTCTCTCTTTTTTTGCCGACGTTCTTCGGAGGATTAATCCGTTTGACAAAAGCAAGATGTAGACCATACCGCGAAACTCGCGCTCACCCCCTTGAAATTAGAACCGATGCGGTAATAATTAAAGGGGGGACAGTAACTTATGCATTCGCGACGCTCGAGAGAAGCGTGTAGAAATAGTGCCGCGGGAACCTGCACGAGTCGCGCGACTCGAGAGATCGAGCCTCGATACGATGCAGCGGTTGACCGTGACCTACGCCACGCTCACTTCCATCACGTCCCCCCGTGAGATATCGGCTCTCGTAGAACACGAGCGCGGAGGAGACGGCGAGAGAGTGGCCGAGAAAGAGAGAACAACGGCGACATCCGCACGACGAATCGAAGTCCTGAAAAGAGCAGCCACGCTACTGCCGATCGCTCTGTAATCTCGATTCGTGAGGCTCCTATGCCGAAAGCGTGGGGTCCTTGGTGAATCTTAGACAAGCCTGATCGCGGAGCAACCGGTCTTTTCGGAAAGGGAAAGTCTCGGTTTCGAAGAAGCGCGTTCCACTTCCGAGTTGATCGCGAGAGATGGAAATCTCTCGGCTCGGTAAGTCGCTTTGAAGGTGCTCGAGGGTGGAAACTTCCGAAAAGCCGGAGTGCCTAAGGTCTTCGCGTGACCCTGACTATAATTTATTTCGATACGATACTCTCTCGTCAAGTACGAGCAGGTCCCGACACGATCGGTAGCACTTCGCGCGCTGATGATCCCCCGCTTCGAGCATGTTAGGTTCCACCAAGGTCAGGCGTCAGTATGTGCTAAGTGCTTCGCGTTCGTGCGCGACCTAGGAAGAGTTAGAACCCCGAGGCCGAGGAGAGACGATCGAATAGCTATTATTCTTGAATTAATATCGTCCTTCGCGGTCCTTCCCTCCCGAAACGTGAAAAGATCATTACATTCGGAAGTGATTAATTTCGATCTCCGCAATATTATTCGTGGGCTCCGAAATCACGAGGTAATAATTAACCTCCGGACTGCCGCAACCTTCGAGCCACCTTTTATTCGTACCCAAGTTCGAACGTTTATAAGAAAAAAAAAAAAAAAAAAAAANATGAAAAACTGAAATTACATCTCTCACACGATTACAATCATTGCGTGATAAATGATTAATTGCCGCGCGCAGATTATTGATAATTACTGGTTACCGCGTGCTGCAATAAACATCGAATAAACACAAGCCGTTGATTGTGAGTCGAAATGACGATTACGAATAAACAGATGCCAACGCTCCCGAATAACGAGCGATTTTTTAGTGATCTGTTATTTACGACTTCGCATACCTTGATGAGGCCGAGGTATCATCGCGCGCGGGCTTTAATGAAGGCGGCCGCGCGCGCATTTTTACGCACAGCGTAAATTCCCGACTATCATAAATATCGTAGCTGGGCTGGAAAGCCGATGGTCCGCGATTCAGGCAGGCCGCAGACCGCAGGATCAGAAAGTTCGAGATATATCGGGCATTCTTGCTACGTCGGCCGCGAGTCTGATACATCGGCGACCGAGCGCGCGACGTTCATTTTCACAGGTAATTCTAACCCTAACAGCGCCAGGGGCTTTGCGACGCGCGGTTAACGCGCGCGCGCAACAAAGTTGTAATTAATCCGAGGCCGAACAGCCTCCGTACGTAATTCGAGCGCGGAACTTATTCGTACGTCGCAAAACACAGTAAAGAGATTATGCGCCGCGCCGAGGGGCGCGGAATTACCACGGAGCTGGCGTATACGTACGTCGCACTAATTTTCCTTTATTTATCGAGTTTGCCAAACTTACCCGACTCTGTAATCCGTGCAAGACGGCGGCGGGTTCCAGACCGTGCTATGACAGAGCATCCAGTCGCACCAGATCTAAAGAACAGAAACACGGAGGAACAAACGTGAGAATATAAAATAAAACAACAACAACGACGACTGGGCGTCAAAATACGAAGTCGCTCGCGTCGTACTTTTTGGAAAAGGGTGTTTCCCGGCGGGAAACACGCGCCAAGAACGGTAACGGAGCTGTGAGTGTTGTCTGCAGGAGGAAGATTTGGACGACGCACAAAGGTAGAAGTTTCGGACGACTAAAGTTTTGAGTGAAAAACACTGGTATCTGCCTCGGAATACACGGAAGTGTTATTTGGAGTAAAATACCCTTTTCCGGATTTTTAAATCTCCCACTCTCACAGAGCCTTATCAAGTCCTCAACTGTCGGAGGGTGCGCGAAAGTACTTCGCTATTTATAGACACTCTCTCGCGAGGCACTTTTTTCATCGAGCACGTCCATCCATCCTCATAAAGTGAAACGTATTCCAGCGGCCTTGTATCGCGTCTATTTTATCGGTAATATTAATGGTCTCACCTCGGTCGTAAGCGCGAGTCCACCTATTATTCCTTGTATCACCTCGCATTCCGATAGTAATCATTGTTCCTTTTTTTCCATCCATACACCTTTTTCTCTCATCTCGAGAGCCGGGACTATTTAATGTAACTACGCTGAACCCCGGACGAGACGCTCGAACGAAACGCAATAAGATCGAACAGCCGTCCGGCGACGACTGCTTTTTCACCGTCGAAACGTACTTTTATGTTACGTGACGAGCGAGCTAGACGAGTCAAATTCGCGTCGCATTCGCACACTCTAAACGTCATTCCCAATCATCCCACCCTGACTGTTCGTTCCCCTGTTGAAAATTTGCAGATGGGTCCTCACGGAAATCCAAAGGAACTCTCGCGAGTCCATATAAGATATTGGAAATCCACATGGATTGTTACTTACACTGAAAGAGAGATTTGATAACAAGTACTGAAACTTGATGGATATTTGCCAAGCAAATATTTCATTACAGTAACGAAATAATTTAGTTCCACACACTAAATATACAATAAACACAGAACTGCAATATTGTATATATAATATATGGGAACTAAATTATTTGATTGCATTAATCAAATATTTTGTCGGTAAATATTCATCAGATTTTAACACTTATTACCAAATCCTTCTTTCGATGTAGAACTTGAATATTTAAAGCAAATCCCCAGGAGCAGCCATGGAATTCCCATATGGATCCTCGTCTGGTTCTTTTTTTTAACAAGATTTAGCCATCCGATCAGCTTAAATGTAATTACATCGCGACTATCGTACCGTTTTTCAATCGTCTTCCTCGGGGTCCAGTTTCCGAGCCAGAAAAATCACCGAAGCCGTCGAGATTACCGACGTTCGATCGCGAAACGACGTTTAATCGATGAAGCGGCCGTGCGTGTGCACGGCTTACGTGCGATAGGAGCATTAATCGCGAACGTCGAGTTGCATAATAAGTCGAGACACACGAACGGGCCGGGTTCTGGGCCTGACACCGGCCACCGGCAGACCTTGCGTGGGTGCGAAACTCTCGCGGCGCTCCATAAATTCTCAGCCGGTTAGAGACACGTTCGAGAGCGCAGGGCGGCGACCACGGCGACAGCGAGGATCGCCGAGGAGGATCGGGTTCGCGAGAGGAGAACCTGGCGCCTTCCAGGTTGGCTCCAGGTGCAAACACGAGACTATCTGGACCAGTGACGGCCAGCAACAACCAGCGATCGGTTATTCCGATTTAACAACGGAAGCGGATGGAAACGTTCAAATACGGACAAGACTTTTTCTTCAGCGATCTTTCTCTCCGCACGTTAATCGTTTATCGAAGAACTCTCGAATTACCGGAATATTTATCCGCGGGCTGCAGAAGCGAAGTGAAGAGGTTGATCGTCACTGTTCCGGATCTAATTATCTCGTAATAGCGAGCCACGAACGATGGATGTAATCGAGTGAACGTTTCGACTCGGAAATTGACTTACGGGCCGACTCGCGTCGTGAAACGTAATTAAGACTTCGCTCCGCCGCGATACGTATTGACCCGTGATGATGGGGGAAAGAGGGAAAGTACCTTAATAGCCGGTAGAAGCACTTGCAGATCCTCGCCGACTACCAGCCTCGGTTCCTTCCCGCTGTCTAGCTGAGCCTTCAGCAGGGATACCCCGCGTTCCAAGATCAGGCTGAACATCTGCAGCGACACCACGAGCGCTCGTTCTTGCACCTCCGATCTGTATCCCTGTTCCATCTGGGAGTCTGAAATAAAAAAAAATAGCAATGTTTACACGTGTTGAAACTGGCGCAAAAATTCGCGAAAAATACAATCATTTTTTAATTAAACGATATATATCATTGTGCGCGATGAGAAAGTTTTACGATCGCGAGGTAAAATTGGATTTCCGTGAGAATCCACTTGGAAATTTTCAACAGGGTCTCCAGACGCTTGATAAGAATTCACTTTTCGGGGAAGATCGTAGGAGAAAAGTTCCACGGAAAGTCCACTCGGAAACAGCATCACTTCATGCGAGGATATTATCGACGGAAGTTGTCCATCGCGGAACATCATTCCGATTGATTACGAACGACTCTCGTGGAGAGAGGAGGAAGGAGAGCTGGAATAGCGAGGGTGAATCTATGCGCGGCAATATCTGGATGGCAAATTGGTGATGATTGTTGCGTCTGGGAAACGCGTAAGCTAATGCCGGTAGCGATCACGTTTCGATGATGATGATGATGATGATGATGATGCTGATGATGATGATGATGCTGATGGCCGATCTGCGCACCGGTGCAATCTATTCAAACGTCGCGACCGGATTCGCCATTGGCCGCTCTCTTCGGGGCTGTCATTACGCGTCGTATCGAAGCTACGTGACGGGACGAGCTCCCGACAGTTCCGAAGGAGCGAAGGTCACGGCACGACCTTCCGTTACCTCTTCCTCCACCAGCACCAGCAGCAACACCGAATCATTTCCAGAACGTTTCCCGGGGAGGAAGTTCTCCTCCCTCCGAGAATCCAACGGTGATACAGTGAATCCGTCCTCCCCTCCCTCCTCCCTCTTCCTCCCCCCTGCGAGAGACGATGGAGGAAACGATACTTCCGAAAGGATCCGGCTACCGCCCGCGAACTGAGTTTAATTTGCAGTAACGGAAGGCGCCCGAATATCGTTCTCTGTAATTCCGACTCTTGGCGAGAGAGCGAGGAGATAAACTTCATCCACTTCGGCTATACTTACTTACTCCCGGAGCGGTAAAAGCCCCACTCCGCTCCGTCGGAATTATTCCAGTTCTCCGAGCGCGCGCGGTATTCGCGCGCGAAAATTTCGCGGATTTTACTCGGCGCGCGATTACGGAATTTAAGAGTGTTAAAGGCGGAGTTACGCTATGCGCTTTAAAAATTAAAACGTGGTACTGAGCTCTCTCGTTCTCTTCGCTCGGTTCTCGCGGTAAATGCCGGCAAAGACTCGGAGAGAGAGAGAGAGAGAGAGAGAGAGAGAGAGGAGATCGCGACGAAACGCGGGGAAGCATGGGGCGGAAGCGGCGGCAGACGCGACTCTTTCGCGACTTATCTCTAGTTAATCTCTATTCGCGATAATCGACACACCGCCGCATTTTAACGTCGCTCTCCGCCGTTCCGACGACGACGACGACGCGAAACCGAGAGCCGGTGGTCCGGCCGTTTTACGATGGCGACACTGCGCGGTGTCTTTCATCCCGAATACCAGAACATACCGCCCGGAACCTACCAAGTGAATACTACGAGTATCCGCGGAGTAGTATCGCTCCTCCACGACTCGCGCCGCTAGCTCGGCGCGTCTTATTAGCGGGCTATAGCGAAGCTAATTAGATGAGCGTCGCTAACGATGGTGTAATGGGCCCACGCAAGAACACCATTTATCGGAACTACCGACGTTTATCGTGAAAAATGGGTAGCACAGGTCAATATGAATTCCCCCTGCACTGCTCGGTGTTTATTGAGAAAAAGAAAGAGAAAGATAGATAGATAGATAGATAGATAAATAGAGAGAGAGAGAGAGAGAGAGAGAGGAGAAGCTATAGCACTCCATAAAGAAGCCATAAACCAGCAAATAACACGCCGGAAATAAAACACGAGGAGCGTAACTGGATAAGAGCGACGCGATGAAACCGAGCCCATTGAGATCCGCGCGAGTGGATTAAGGGACTCTGAGGAAGGCGGGAAAAATCCGCCACACGTACGCGCGTCAAAGGGCGAGATGAGCAGAACGAAAGTAAAAAGTGAGCGCGCGAAAATTGCAACAGCGGCATTATTCGCAGCCCTCGGTGCTCATCGCTCGCTCGTCCCTCTTGCGGTCCCTCTCGATCAGCGCGGACGTGGGGCGGCATCTCCAAAGGCGGTGCGCGTCCGCGCGAGCGCTGAACGCGCGAGTAAGGGGTGCGATTTTTCGCGACGTGAATTAATACTCCGCAGAATAGAAGGATAACACAAATCTAACAAGCGATAGAGGGGTAGGAGAGGACGGTGGAGGGAGAGGGGGAGGAGCAGTGCACCGCTCCACGTCCGTGCCATCCTCCATCAAGCGCGTCGTGCATACGCACGAGAGCCATTCGAAAGGTGGAAGGTGGACTCTGGCAGTTTAATTTATCGCGGACAAGGATAATAATTAGCGTTTAACCGCGAGGTCGGCCCGAGAAAGCCCGTGTGGTCTTCATCGGGGGGTTGGGAGTGTAAAGGGTAATTAGTTAGAGAAGATTTATACAGGGAGGCCCTAACTAATTGCCACCGCGATCATTAGCGAAACTCAGGCGTATCGCGCGCGCCGTCGACTTCCCCGATTTCCTGTCTTTCGCGCGATCTAACTGCGATCGTTAACCCGCGCGAGTTAGTCGCACTACGAACGCTGTCAAGAAGCTGTTCTTCTCCTCCCCCTCCCTCCACAACCTCTCTCGCGCCACCATCTATCGGTAGTCTAATGGTCAAACTGTATATTTTCGTCGCGATCGCCTCCACCGTCGAGATAGCGATCGCGCGCGACGCGACTTCTCACCCGAAATTTGCGTAAATTAAACGTGGTAACTCGACACGCGCGCGCGAAACGTCGTCGCGAGGCCAACGAACTCCTACCTGGGCGAAGCCTATCTCGTCGCCCCGTTGCCGCTCCCTCTTATCGAGATCCTTAACTAACGAAGTAAACGCGACAGCGAGATCCCGCGAGAAGCGCGCTCTTAATGAAGTCGGTGGGTAAGCCCGGCCTTCCTGTTTCCCGGACCAATATTAACGCGATTACGCCGCGAAAACGGACGGAATCGAGTTTAGCGAGCTACGCGGCTAATTCGATTAGTAACGATTCTAGCGGACGGCACGCCTCCGACACGCTGGATACACACCGGGCGAGAGATATCGCGCGTTCCCCCTGTGATATTTTTCACCGGTTTCACGGAGGAGGGGGACGAAAATCTTATCAAAACTGATCTCTCCGAGCTCGTCTGGGATCAATTCGACTTAATATTCGAGAAACGAACTCGCGAAGTCGACGCGAAGTTTGCCCCTCGCTCTTTCCCACACTTCGCTTTCCCCCCACCTGCCTCCTCGAACCGTACCTTTTTAAGGTCTCGACGGAGCGTATTTTGGCGCACACAAAAATACGTCGGTATCACGAGGAGCTGAGAGACTTCAGGCACGTCGAACCGTAAAACATTACGCGCCATTATATCCCGGGGGCATTCTTCTTCCTCGAGAATTAACCGACGCGATCCATATTCATTCCGGGCGTCCGGGAACAATCGTTGTTTTTCTTCCCACCGGTTTCGACGGTCATTCGAGTTGTTAAACGGTTAACGGTAAGAACGCGGCGATGAGCGATCGCACGCCCCGCCGCGGCAATATCGATGGCGATACCGTTGTCTTCTGACGGGGCAGCGCGCTTCTTTCGCGAGCCCCCCCCCCCCCCCCCCCNGATAAATCCACGTCGGCGGTGCACGCCACGGAGAGAACACTCGTTAATTCGGTTACTACCCCATTCCCTGCGCTAACGACTGCTGGAATATGAAAAGGCTATTGTCTAAGGATAATCACGTCTTAATGGGCCACGGCGGAGAGCGCGTTATGTATCGTTAAATGTAGCTACAATGCGTAGCAACGGGCCAGGACGCAGCGCTGAGAGACGGGGAGAGGGAGGAGGAGGAGGAAAGAAAGAGGAGCGTAGGATGATTTTAATGGTCGCGAAATATCTCGACCGCCGGCCGGTGCGTTTCGCGTATCTTTATTCAGCGCGGCGGGACGCGCAGCAGCCGCCGTGCGCTCGTTTTGCGGTTTAACGTTTCAATCCGCGCTACCGCGTTTTACTCGCATTTATCGCGCGTTATACCCGCCGAGTCGTTAACGGCTATTATAGAGATATTACGCGGGTAAAGATAGCGTGCAACCTCTAACGTCGTTGCAACCTCCGTGCGCGCGCGCGCGCGCGCGCGAGACGTTGTATCGGCTCGGTAGAACATGTTTTTCGCGAGTATCGCGCTCCCGCTCGATAAGAACGGCGACGTTAACGGAGTCCTGAAATAGGCGCACCGCCGATGCCTATCTGCGCCGATCGGCTCTCCCGGCTTCTATCTAATAGAATATTCCGCGCGTTACTGCTCTCTCTCTCTCTCTCTCTCTCCCTCTCTCGAAAATCACGGTGACTCCTCCGTTTATATTTAACTCGCAGCATACGTCTTCCTTTCTTTTACGAAGAACGACGCAACTTGCATTATGTTGTTTTGTCGCGCATACCTGACACAGAGGAAGATATTTCTTTGGATTTAATGATATTTCTTTAATGGAAACAAATTTGTCTTTTACAATAGAGTAGATAAACGAATATTTGATTGGACAAACAGGATTGTTTGTTCCTTCAAACGATAAATATCTTCGCGTCAAACAACGTATTTCTTTCGTATTTTCACTCAAACATTACAATGATTGTTATGAGCAATAAATCGCTGAAAACAAGTAACGCTATGTTAGAACAATATTAAGCCTTGAATTAAGCATTATGGGTCAGATAGACACGGTGAATCATGTTTGAAGAACTATAGCGAAGAGAAATGCGTGATCTGTGAGTTCTACCCACTCTCGAAAAATCATTAAAGAGTCGCTCTGTCCGTTAGACATGGTGCGGATCTGATAAGCCGATTAATTAATGTTGTAGGAGTATAATTTGACGCTATAAATAAAGTGTTTTTTTGCTGAAAATTTATGTGTGAACATGAGTAAGCATTGTGATTACGCGTGTTTT